CTATCTTCTAGTAGCCACTCCATTATATAATATAAAGGTAAGAATACAATTGGACTTAAATTTCAATTCCTTGTTCTCAATTAATAGATATGCCACTGGGTTAGAAAATATTTTGTCTATCTAGTTACAGTTACAAGTACATGATTTGCTCAAGGTCATGCAGTCAGTCAAAAAACAAAGGTGACAGGAATTGGCATATTCTGATCCCCAGGCTCATGAGTCTGTTTTATAAGTAGTCAACAAAGTGTAAATACCAAAGGTACTCTTACGTCTTAATATACCTTAAGTGTTTCACAAATTGACTTTTTAAAAAATACCCACCCTGAACTGTTCAATTGTACCACAAATTCCTGTGCCTGCCACCCATGACCTACTACAAATTTTAATCTTAACTCTGCAATTAATTTGGAGTCAGTGTTTAAAATGCAAACATCTTTCACTGTAAACAGATAATTCAAATAATTCATAACTGGCCTGCATCCCAGTATGGTTCAAAAGAAGCTTAAATGTAACGCAGTTCACAGAAAATGAAAAGAGCTCTTTAATTATATGAAAAGATGTTCAACCTCGCCCAAAACATTTTGAAATGCAATTAAAGCTACACCAGTATACTTTTTTCAGATTAGATCAAAAGGTTGGTAACACTTTGTGCTGGTAGACATGTGGGAGAGCAAATACATTGCTGTTGCTGTGAAATGTTTATTGACTAATACAGCCACTATGGAGGGCAATTTAGCAATATCCATCAAATGTTTGAGTAGCTTTGTAATTCTACTTCCAGGAATTTATCCTACAAATATATCACGTGTGTGTGAGATTTATATGCTATTCCTTACAGCACTTTCTGCATTAGCAAAAGATTGGAAACAAAGCAAATATACATGGAAAATAAATTAGGACACATTCATATACTGCAAAATTATGCAGTCTAGTGAAGAATAGGATGGTTTATGTACACACACAAAATGATTTCATATTAATAAAGCAAAGTGGAAAGTGACATATAGAATATTTAACTTTTTCATAAAGGAGGTGAGCAAAAGAGCATATATTTTTATATATATTGTTTTACAAGCATACTATCTTTCTGGCAAGATACACAGGAAACATTACATTGGAATTGCGCTTCTCGATAAGGAAGGGAAGCGGGGAACAGCTCTGCATAAATTTTACATATATACATAATACACACTTCAATTTATCTTACTTTTTTTAAAAGTTTCACTTAAATATCCTCACTTAAATAACAAATTCAGTTAAATACAGAAAAGGTATTCACAAAAGAATTAGATATTATAAAATAAATGCAACATTTTAAATAAATGTTCTCACTATAGTGACACCATAATACATTAAACTTACATGACAAAAAACTCCAAAGAACCAAATTAAAATTTTACTTTGTTCATTCATACCTTATATCTCTGATCCCATCATTACACAAGATAAAATAACTTCCTCATGTTGCTACCCTAGGTTTTTTCCAAAAGCACTAGTAAAATTCCACTGATTAGTAAACCAAACATGGGTCCAAAAATAGTTATGAGACTATTTTGCATCAATGCAGTAAATAACAGAGGAAGAAATTCTTTCTTCAGTATTTATGAATAGAAATTGTGGCTAACAGCATAAGAAATTAAGTCCTAGGTAGGGAAAAAAGCTTTTAATTTTATAAACTTCACAATATGCCAAAAATGAAAATTAACAAAATCATCCTCTAATATATCAAACTCTGTGCTATAATAAACTGGAGTTACATTAGGCTTTGGTTTATTTTTGAGATTTTAAGACAAATAGGATAATAAAACTAGTTACAGGGGCAGGGTATATAGCTCAGCGGTAGAGTGCCTGCCTAGCATGCATGAGGTTTGGGTTCAATTCCCAGTACTTGTATTAAAATAAATAAATAAATAAACCTAAAAAAGTTTAAAAAAAGAAAAAAGAAAAGTAGTTACAGAGTAATAACCATTCCAATTACAACTTCGCTTCAAGTAAATTCACAAAATAATCTTCAGGTAGTCTCTACTTAGAAAAAGTCTCTACTTAGAAAAAATTCAATAAATAAAATCTCAACTTTACAACAAGCCTAATAAGAGGGCTCCCCTGCATCTCAGATATGTTGTGTACCTTCAGAATAACTTCATTAATACCTCATGGTCAGATGAATCAACCACCACCAATACTGACTGATAATACAGTTGTGAGCAGAAATATATTGTTTATTGTCATATAAAACCAAAATTAGGTGAAAAATCATAGGTGCCTATTATTTAAGATCTTAAAAGAATTTATGATATTTGGTCCAGTGGTTCTGAAACCTGATTGCAAACTAAAATCACTCTGGCAATGCAAAAAACATACTGGTCTCAACTTAATCAGAACTGGGGGATTAAGTAGATTTTTTTTTAAGTCCTCAGTGATTCTAATATGTAATAAAGAGTTAAGATTTTTTAAAAAAAGAACAAGAATTACTAATATCTCAAATTATAGATGATCCTGAAAAGTTATTCACAAACCACTGAGATCAGTTAACCCTTCCAGATCTTTGCTGTGTATGTGTGAATCAAAGGGAAAATGAATTCCTCATATTTCAACTGATTTTTCAGTAAATACATTTTAGAGCATTTACATACGGTAGAATTTCAGACTTCAAGCATAGGGCAATTCACATCCCCCAGCATTTGTGGTGCTGTTGGAGACTTCTCAAAAGTGCTGACAGCCTGTCCTACCAAGAGCAGGTCAAGCAATAATACAGGTCTGATTATAGTAGCAGTGCAACAGCGAAAAGCATACTGTAGAGCCAGCCAACTCTGGCTCTGCTACACACTGCGTTAACTGAAACCTGAGTTTCCTCACCTGTAAAACGGGAATTAACCTTTCTCATAAGTAGACATGAACGAGTTAAAATATCTAACTACATCTGACAATACTAATGGCTCAATTTAACAAAAAATAAGCTAATAAATGCCTGTTGAGCTTAACTAAAAGCAAAGGACCTGGGGAAAGACAAGCCCAGGTCATTCTTGCAGGTGGATACACAAATGTCCCCACTGGCGACTCCAAGCAGAGGACTGGCACGAGCAGAAGACCAGGTAACCTCAGGCCTGGGGTTATAAGGGTCGAGGTGGGAAGGGCAAGCCTTGTAATGCCGAAGGAGGCCCAGAGGCCGCGCATCCCGCCCAAAAAAGCCAGGGCCGCGGCGCTGCCGCCAGATCTCCGGGAATGAAACGACGGGAGGCCGATGGTGGAGAACAGAGCACGCAAAGTCCCTCACCTTCACCACGGCCGTCCCCCGGCTGCCCTGACGGCCACTGTCTAGTCCCGCTCCAGGCTTGCTTACAACCAGGGCAGCCATCCTAGGAGGAGCGGTGCCGCAGAAGCAGCCTTCACGGCCTTCACCTGAAGGCCGGGGGCAGAGCCACCCAGAAGCCTCTGCGCTCGCCGCTTGCGCACAGGCGCAGTGCGACGTGGGATGCTGCTCGGCCAGCCTCTTCGTTCCTCCTCCCGCCGATCATTAGATGTTTGGCTTCACAGGCATGGGTGTGGGGCCTTTGTTACTATTCTTGTTATTATTGAGAAGTCTTAAGTTGATGGAAGGAATAAAGTTAAGGAGGAAAAGAAGGGGTAAAACAGAAGTAAAGTTGACGAAGGTAACTCCCGCTCCAGTAACCATATAGTCTTCCCAACAGTAAAACGGACCGGGGACGGGGGACTACATCTCCCTGCATGCCGTGCGGCTTTTAGACCACAAATCCCAGGAGGCCCCATCTCCATCTTTTACTCCGCAGTGTAGATACTTGGGAGGCCGTGTGTAGTTCCCGAGGAGTGGTTTCTTGAAGTCGCGGTGTGTTGACTGTGGCTGGAAATTAGTGAAGTATTTTACGAATAGTCTCTAAGAGGCAAGAGATGGCTTTGGTAAAAGGAAGCCGTTGAGTCCGTAAAGGACGTGGTAAGAGGAGAATTTAAGGCACCACCGGCAGCGGAGAGAAATTGATGCCCTGTCTTCCCGAACGTGCGCTTTTCTGTTTTCATGCTTGCTGGTTGAACCTCTTCAGCCTCCGTAGCCAGCGGGTCAAAAGTGCCGGTCAAAATGGAAGTGAATCCCCCCAAACAGGAGCACCTGCTGGCCCTGAAAGGTAAACTTTTGCGAGCCCAACTCCCCTTAATTTCCCTCCTTCTCTCACTAGTTCTCGAAGCCTTTGGCACATAGACCTGGCTTCTGGGATATAAGCCTCGTCCTTTTTAAACACTGTCAGTACTCTCCTACTGCTCTGTTCCTTGGCGCTGAGCGGAAGAAAGGGATTTCTCTTCGCTTTTTAGGTTTGAGAGCCTCCCTATAGAATGGAGTAGATAACTGGTGAATTACTTACTCTGTTACGTGTTGCTGCAGTCACCAGACAGATTTTAGCCTCAGAAGCTCGCGTCCCCTCCCAAGCCGGGGAGAGCCCTGTAAACCAGTATGATTAACAGCGGGTATCTAAAGTGGTTTTTTTCTGTCTCGTCTCTTCCTGCGGCAATGGCAGTTACCAGTCTTCCGCTTCATCTGTGAAATTACTCTAGTATCGTGGCAAGAATTTACAGATACATAGTAGTACAACATACAATTTAGATTTGTTAAAACGCACTGCCGTTTACTTCAAAGTATTGTGTGCATATGAGAAAATTCAGGTCAATTTTCTTTTTCTGTCCACAGCAAACAGTTTTGATGGTTTAATTGGATCATTATTGTGGGAAAACCAGCAGGGCATACTTTTTTGGAACTTCTGTTGTTTTCTTAATACTTTTATTTGAAATGCTTTCAGTTTATTTCATTTGTTTTCTACTACCACAAATGCACTTATTTCTTTGAGGCACCACTGTGTGGTTACCATTATCTTCTTGCACTGAGCTGAGAAAATACTCGTTAGACATGTGAATTCAGTTGAATTGCACTTACCTTCCCTGTGGTGTCCATTTTGAGGGACCGTTACCCCTCAGTTGTGGTGTAAGCATCAAACATTCCAGAAGCTCACCAGTTCCATTTGTAACGTAAAATCATATTCTGATAGTTGGGGTTATCAGAACTGTCTCTGACTGTAGAACTAAGAAACTGAAATGTTAACTGATACAGCAGTAGGACCTGTAAATTTATCCTGAGCAAATATCCTGGACTGAAATGGGTTTTCTCTAAGGAAAGAAGAAACTGTCATGTTCTTTATCGGTCATCTCACATCAAGTATGTGGAATAGATAATTCAGAAGTTAAACTTTTTCAAGATCACAAAGCTAGTAAGTGATTGAGGTAATATTTTAACACAAAGTCTTCATTTTTCCAAGACTCCAAGTTGCCTCCTAATGAAGGAAACAGCATTTTCAGACATCATTCCCTTACAATTTGATAGGAATTTGGAACAGTTACGTTAGCTTCTAGGTGTCATTTTATACAAATTGGAAGATATTAAACACAGTTAAATTCCAGAGAGTGGAAGCTAACTGCCATTGTCCTTCAAGGCTGATAAAATAGTCTTTCCCAGGTATCTTCTGTTTTCCAAAATAGAAGATTCCTTGGGAAGAGTATTTCAGCAACCTAAAAGGACAAGTGCTTTAAAATCATTGATAGTTTCAGCTTTCTTAAAACTCTTTGATACCACTCTTCCCTGTTGTCATAGTTATCCAAGAATTTTCACAGATTTTAATTTTACCAATGTTGGATGCCAAATATGTGGTCATTTAAGTTTGCTTTTTTATATATGTAAAATACTAAGGTGCTCTCACAACTTGACTGTCCCTCGAATACAACTAAGTTCAGACAACAATGAAAGAATTCTCAATGCCATATCTTAAAATGTGAAAATGTAAGGAAGAGGGAAGAAAAAGATAAAAGCATTATTTTCTTGAAAGAATGTACTATCTATATTTAGATTCATATTAAAAATGTTGGATGTTAAGGATCACAGTCATTTATGAATTTGAGTTGTCAAATCTGTTACTCAGCGAACATTAACAGTAGATGAAAAGAATCATTTTGAGATTGGTTACTTTTTTTGACTCTTCAGAATCTGGTCGAATGAGTATTGTGACATCATGGCAAGGAATCCCCACTCACAGTCGTCCTGGCAAAGGAAAAACCCCCATCAAGTAGTTCTCTAATGATTTATGGGAGAAGGGGTTCAACTTGTTTTTGTCTCCAGTAGTTAGGAGCCTGCATTACAGCTTATGCAGCTTTGGGCCTGATTAGGAAACCTAACTTGCAGATGCTGGAAGGCTCCATTCTTGAGCCTGTGTACTGTGTGCTAGAACTTATTATCAGTGACTTAACTAGGGGCAACTTGAAGGCTTCTTTGTTCTAAGAGCAAAAAGAAATAAAAAAAAATAAGACTTTAGGCTTTTTGTTCATCCTCCCAATTGGAATTTAAGAGCCATGCTACTAAGGTCTTGATAGTGCTTAAGTGCCCCAATTATACAGACGAGACTGTCACGAAACCAGTTCCTAGCCTGTTAAAATGCAAAGTTAAACCATTTTCATGTTTTCAGTGTTCTAAAAATGAAATAAAATCATTAAGTATTCTGTCTGTATATTTGTTTGGTAGAATTCATATAATTGTAACATATAATATGCATTTTATTCAAGAGATTAAAAAGTACAGTGATTTTTGTTGTCTTCAATTCAGATGTCTTACATTTTTAAGGATTATTACATTTTTGTTATCTTCTTATGAACTTAGCATTTTAAATATTACTAATTTACTCTTTGTTTCTGCTATAGTCTTAAGATCATTACTGTATAATATATTAATATCAATACTCCCAGATCCATTATATCTGTTCAGTTAAACATGTTGACTACTAGCAGTTTTAGGCTGAAAGGATCTTATAGGGCATCTAATCCAGATCCCTTATTTTGGTAAGAGAAAGGATTTCCAGTGTGTGGATTACATTCACATTTACCAGTAGCCCTTTGGTAAAATACATTGAGATTGGTTTTGATTTTCCTTTTTTCCTCTGCCTATCTATATATAGGCTATCCCTACCATATCTTATTCTTTGCAATACTTCCACTTTAGGTCCTGTTTCCCTCTGATTTGGAAAGAGAGTCTTGTAATTATAAATTACATTCTAGCTCTGAGGAACTCAGCTAAGAAATTTTCTCTTCATTAAGAGTAACTGGATTACTGCAGAATGACTACAGAAGTAATAATACATTATCGACCAAGTGAGAGGGATCCCACACAACTGCCAAAAATTGCAGAGAAAGCAATTCAAGACTTTCCTACTCGGCCACTATCAAGATTTATTCCTTGGTTTCCTCATGACAAGTCCAAACTTCTCAAACCTAGAAGATCACCACCTGTGATTTCTGAAGAGGCAGCTGAAGATATGAGACAATACTTAACCATTTCAGAACATGATGTTAAATCACAGAGTTATGATTGCACAGTAGATCTATTGGAGTTTCAACCTAATTTGACAAAAAAGAGGCACTTAATCCGATCACACACACTGAGTGAACAGACTAATCCTGGAAACCTGGACGAACGAACAGAGAAAGGAAGACAACACAAGAGGAGGTCTTGGAGTGTTTCACTTCCCAGCAGTAATTGTACTGAAAATATTTTTCCTTTGTCTAAAAAACTGCAAGATAGTTTAAAGGCACTAAATTTGCACTCATTTTATAGAGCAAGATGGATAATAGAACACACTGTTTGTAACAGCCAAAGTCTGGAAGACATTTGGGCAAAACTCAATCGAATTATCAGGCATAATGAACTTCCGTCTTGTAATGCTACAATTCAGAGACATTTAGGCGAGATATGGGTGTTCTGTGATGTTATGTACTGTGAATATGTAGGAAATCTTCTTAAAGGAAGATTAGCACTTACTGGGGAAATAAGTTTATTTGTGAATAAATATGGTGTTATTTTTAGTATGTAATGAATTCCACTGATTGTCAAAAAGAATTAATATTCTGAATGATCTGATTATGAACTGAAACAATGACATAAATTTTAATGAGTTAATTTTTTTTATTTGACCCCTTTCTAATATAAGCTATTTATTCCTAACATTGTGAAAAATAATTGTATGGTAATATGTGTGCAGTTTATATCCCAGAAATAAATATCAGGTGAATTCATAGGCTTGTCAGTTAAGTCATGAACTTTCTGGGTTCCACTTTGAGCAGCCTTCTTTTAAGTGAATTGTGATAAATTATTATTTATACTGAATTTAGAGGTAAAATGTTCTATTCCTTTTGTTCATCTTTCCATTGGTCAAATTATAGTGAAATATAGTGAATAGTTTGAATTTTGATAAATCCCCAAAATCTAATTTTACAGTATTTGTTCTTTACTCACCTAAAATGTAATGATTTTTTATCCCAAATAAAACTAAAACCAATTCTGTTGGGAATGGTCTCCAAGTGGCATGAATGTAGTGGCATGAATGATATTCAAGTGGCATGAATGTAGTTCAGATTGAGAGACCAGCCCAGATTCTGTTGATATTTCCACAGATATGTAATAGACAATAGTTGATATGTTGTTATGAAACACAAGTACAAAATATATAATTTGCCTAGGACTGTAATGTATCTCTAAGGCAATAAGGCAGCCTCTTTTGAAGTGAAGTATGAAATATAGGTAAGAGATCAAGTTGTTATTTATTTAATCTAATATAGGTAATTCAGTCTTAATGACCATTAATGCTGAGTACTAGTTCTCTGGTTCTTGGAGTCACTGTGGTTTCCCCATAGCAAAATGTTATAAATTGGGTTTATACATGACTTCATAAAAATACCCAGAGTGATTATATGATAAAAGTTTTATTTTTAAAAAACTATATTTATTTAACAAATTTAAATGCCTACCATGAGCTTGGTGCTAGAATAAAGTAAGGAAGGAGACAAACATGGACTCTGCCCTCACAGAGCTTACATGGAGTCACTACTGTTAAGTAAAACCACATTCCTGAAAAAAACCGGTTAAAACTGTACTCATTAGGAAGGCAGAAACACATTTGCCTTGTGGTACAGTGCCTGGCGTTGTAGGGACTTGATAATACATAGTAAATATGCCCTTTGGAGGGATTCTCATAGCCTGACCTGGCTGAGCTTGCTTAAAACACAAGGAGTTTACCAATTTTAACTAAAGAGGTAATCTTTTCTAATTAGGTTTCACACTATCCAAACATTGTTTTATTTTTAACGACTTTGAGTACCTTTTTATTGTCTCAGTTGAGACTGCTGTGTAGAAAATAATCATCATGTCCTTGAATGCTTCCAGAAGTCTTTAAAAAATCACCAGGTGTAGAGGGAGTTTCCAAGATAACTTTTTCAGTCATTACTTCCTCTTTTCATTCATTTAAGTCATCTCAATTTTCAAGATTGCTGAAGAAAAATCAGAATGCAGAATAATTGCCAGAGAGCTTTGCAAACAAGAGTTGGGTAATATTACTGTGCAATCATAAAGGGTGGATTTGATTTTTATTGTTAGGTCTTACTTAGCATTTAGGTTGCTAATCAAGGATTAAAAGTTGGTAATCCTAAATCAAGGTCATTTACATAGACCACAGTGAGGTTTTTCTGATACATTTTTATTATTTTGAAGTGATTTTATATGGAGCTGAAAATATTCTTGTGAATATTTTCTTATGACAGTCTCATGAGTAGCTTTTTAAGAATCTCACGTTAAAAAGAGCTTCTTTGTCTTCATATGTGGCAGATTAAAAATTTTCTAATTTACTCTATATAAATTACTTTCTACCCCATTGAAAAACAATGAAAAGGTGATTAAGAACTGGGAATATGAAGTGAGGGGGTATAGCCCAGTGGTATAGTGCATGCCCAACATGCACAAGGTCCTGGGTTCAATCCCAGGTACCTCCACTAAAACAACAACAACAACAACAAACAAACAAACAAACCCTGATTACCTCCCCCCTAAAAAAAAAAGACAAGTAAACAATAAATAAGTATTTTTTTTAAACTGACAATATGAAGATTGAGTTTTACTGCAAATAGTGCTATGATCTAAAAGGAAGGAGAGGTTCATTTCTTATCTATCTAGACAGGACTTAGGGAGTAATCAAGACCTAAGAATTTAGAATCTTTGAGGCTTTTAGAGTATTTAGAACCTTAGGACTGATGATTCTAGCACTAGCTAACAGTCGGGCTCGGCAGTATTTCTGGGTTCCACTGTTAAGTCATAGGCAAGGAAACAAATCAGGGGAACAAAGAAGTATACAGGAAGGTGAATCTGAAACCATTTGGTAAAATGCCAAAGCACTTACTCTGGGAAAGTAGCAACAGTACCATAATTTTATTTTTCCCTGACAAGCTATCTACCTTAAATACTAACTCAAATTCTAAGAAAAAAGGTGTGGAGGGCATCACACGAATTTAACTTTGCCGACTTATCAAATATCTTAAAGAACATTTTTTGAAAAATTTTAAGATGAGCTCCTGCATAATGATTCACTTTGATTTAATCTGCTGAAAATGCCCTAAATTATTTCAACGTTCACAAACTTGAATGCCTTCAGGGACTAGACAAATAAGACTGTGGTAAGGACTCTGAAACTATGAAACTCTGGAGAAAATCTCCATAATATTTTTTTAATGTGCTGGGCAAGCAAAATGTACATGCAAGATGAACTTGGCCTAATTCATTAGTTTGTAACCTCAGGCCTATCTTTACCTTTATTGAAGACTTTAAAAAGCTTTTTGGAGTATTTTAGATGAAACCTGAATTTCATAAGTAAATCAAATGTCTTTGTTTTGTAAGCTCCACTCAGAGCGTTTCTACACATGGCACTAACTGTGCAATGTGTGTGAATACTTGTCACTCAACTAAAAACACATATTCTGTTTTTAATTTTGACCAAAAAGTTGCTTTAACATTCCAAATTGGGTACATATTCACTGTTTAATAACCAGAGCTTTCTTATGGTTCCTCTGCCAGTTTTTTAACCTTGTTTTTTATTGGTATTTGCTCTTTTCCAACAGTTTAATTTTTAAGGTCCGTTAATTCATATTAAGACAGGAAATACTGAATTTTAAACCTATATTTGATGTGGGCATACTTTGTATTATCATTCAAGCAGTGAGTTAGTTTTATGTCACTAATTTGGCTTTCCCAGTGTATGCTTAAATGTCTGCAGTATGACAAATGGTGCTTTATAGTAATTTGTTTTTGAGTCTACAAGATGATAGTACTTTACATAAACTGCTATCCCCTCTGCTAATTTTCACCCTCTTTGAAAATATGAACAGGTGTTTTAAGTACCAGTTTGGGATCTTTTTACTTGTAATGGAGGGTTGTTGTTTATTCACTCTCGATTGTCTCCATTCCCTAGAAAACCATGGAATCACCAAAAACTAAGCTTTATAGGACTTTTGTACATAATGGAAATTTGAGCATATAGTAGGCAAATAAGCTGACTACACAGTTTGAGTGAATTCAAGAATAGTTTTTTAAGAGTGTTTCATAATTCCCTTGAGAGTGTTTTTCCTCTTTAATATTTGGTTTCATCTGAAATGAAAAAAAAAATGGAGACTAGAGAACACCAATTGGTATTAAAAGTGAGCTTAGAGTCAGATATTTAAACTGAGAAGAACTATCTCCTGTATATCATTTTCAGAACATCTTTTTATCCCCTTCAGATTGGACTTAATTTTAATCTGTTTTCCTAGTTGAACATAAGAATAAAGTAGAAAGTCAGAAACGCCTCCTTAACCACTTCCCTGCCACACCGTTGATGGTTAATGTTCGTTTGAGATAGAGTCCTACTTTGAGTTCCCTTGGGATGTTTCTGATAAGGCATGATTCCAGGTTTATGACCCTGGGCTTATAGTTAATAGGGAAAATTATTTTTAAACAGAGGGAAATCACTTGAATTCAAATCTAGTTTTATCATCTATCTGCTGTATAATCTTTCATATGCAAATTACCCTCCCTAGGCAGTGTCTTATCTGTTAAAGGGGGATAATAATACCAACCTTGAAGTTATGGGAATTAATTGTGTTAATACTTGTAAAGTATTTAGCATAATGTATGGCACTAGTAAATGCTCAGTAGATTCCAGCTACCCAAGTGACTTCAGAAAGTTTAACATTAGCACTTTTGACTATTTCAAAAGCCATCTATTTAATATAAAATTATTTAATGGTCTTAGTTCATAAAACTTTAATTTCAAAATAATGCCACTTGAGGATTTTGGTGAGGTGCTAATTCTTTCAACAAAGATCCATGGAATATACTATGTGCCAGAACCTGTGTCAAGCACCGAGGCCACAAAACTGAGCATGATCCTAATCCTCAAGGAGGTTGGATAGGAGTGCCATAAACAAGTAAGTTAGTAAACACAGTTCATGAGAAATACAAGGTGCTATGAGAGAAACAGGGTGACTTTTTTTCTGAAAAAGATGACATTTAAGCTAAGCTCAAGATGAAAAAGGCACTAAATTTTATATGAATGATAGAGCTAGTTAATTAGTAGTTAGGTGTTACAATTTTACACATGGTAATGAATACCACATATTGTGCTTTGGTTATTTAGGTCAATCTAAAGATATTAGTTTTGATTAAAATGAGCATTTTTGGTAGAGCATAAAGAGAGTCTTCTGAGATTCATTTTCTGAAATATTTTACAAGTTTGTGTGATTTTAAATTTTATATTTTTGTCTTTGTATTGTATGTTGTCTAATATTATTTTGATGTGATCAAAATGTTAATCTATAATTAATTGAAAAAGATTTTTTTAATTAGAGTGTCCTATTTTTGCTAGACTATGTTTAATAAATTTTCACTTTTTCTAGTTTTCTTTTTTTTAACATTTTTTATTGATTTATAATCATTTTACAATGTTGTGTCAAATTCCAGTGTTCAGCACAATTTTTCAGTCATTCATGTACTTTTTCTAGTTTTCTATAGCTTAATTTTTGTCTATTTTAATTTGATGTATATACAATTTAATTGATATTGAAATGAATTTGTAAACTAATTTTATTTTTCCCAGATAGCTAACCACTTGTCCTAGCACCTTGTAATGTTGATTTTTCTTGCCGCATCCTAATAATTTTTTTAAAATTACCTAGTATATCTGTATGGTCTTGCATTAGTAAGCCAATTAGTTGGTTATGGGCCGAAATGTTGTAATATATGTTAGTCCATTTCTTTCTCATTTTTTTCCCATTAATTTCCTTAGCTTACTTTTATTTGTTTTTCTAGATAAATGTTAGATACATTCTGTTATAGTCCAAGAACAAATATTAATTTTGGTTGGACTTCTATAAACCTATACATTTAACTGATACTTTCATAAATTTTACATAGAATTAATATTACGTAAAGGGCCACTTACTGAACTTCCAGTGGCCCATGATTATAACCAAGAGATAAAACTTACAAGGAATTTTTTTGGAATAAAACTATTGTTCATATTCAAAATGGTACATCTAAACTTTTTTTCCTCTTAGGCTAATATTGGATAATACTTTCCTGATATTGTTTATAGTGAAGTCACTTAGGACTTTTTTTAAAGATGTTTAAAGAATAGACATTTCTTTTTGAGG